TTGTTTTTACAGACACAATGCAAAGTAGAGCAGGCAAGATCACAATACATGATCTGTACCTTTACATAAACAAAAGAAGGAATTAGACATTTATTTGAGAAAGACCTTTATTGCTATAAATTTTGCCTCTTTTTAATGTTCTTTTTTGGCCTTCTCTTGTTTGCTGTGGTACATGTGTTACATTTAGTGTTGCCGCTGTTTCCTGTTAATGCAAAGTCAACACTTAATACATCTGTTTCAGATTAAAAGCCTTCCAGCAGTTCAGGGGTTCTTCCCCCTTTCTGGGAGGCTTTTATTGTGATGCGCGTAGAGATTCATTATCAGCAGCTTAACCTCAATCATTAGAATTAATTAATCAATAAAGCAGTGTTTCTGTTATATACACAGTAACTCAGAGCAGAAGAGAGTATGACATGGTTATGTTGTTGTGTAATGTGTAATGTAGATTATGTTAAGTTGACAAGGTTTCCTGGCCTTTATTTTAGATTTTACTGATGTAATATAAATAAATTTGCACTCTCCTGGTTTTAATTAGCTGATCTGACTCCCAGATATTTGACTAAAATATATGTTTATGTACATCTCATCAAGATTCCTTAAGCTTTTCCCTCTCAAAAACGTCATATATTCTGAAGAATCATTCCTAAGATATTGTCATACTATAGAGATGTATGGTGTATTAGGTCAAGAATATTTGACTGTGGTAAAAGAGGTATTCAGGATCAGATCCTTAAAGTATTACGGTGGAAGTACTCCACTACATGTAAAAGTCTTGCATTCAAAACCTTACTTAAATAAAAGTATGTATTATCAGTTAAATGTACTTATATCAAATGTGTCAAAAGTAGGGTAGTGAAGTGAAGTACTCATTAGGGTCCCTCACAGTGTTGAACTATTATATATGATGTTTCATTTTATGCTGTATATGTTTAAGGTTGAGCTATGTGTTCGGTAGTTTAATCTACAGCAAAGCATCATCTTCTATAAGATCATGTTTGTAGTGTTGCTGTATAGTGAGAACTGTATATGTTCATAAAAACAACCCTGTCTCAACTTTGTGGCAATGCATATTTTAACTAATGCAAGTTCTTTTTTCAACATATAAATGTACATTTTAAACAACAGATTTGCACTTAATTACAGTACTTGAGTGAATGTACTTAGTTACATTCCACCATGGATACATTGTAACAAAATTCATGCAACAGAAGTGGGACGGTAGCATACCTAATCTTTGTTGACTGCTGTCAGTCCCCACTGCACAGTGTGCAACTTTGTCCTGACCTTTTGACCTCACCTTCACCCTCTCACCCTGCAACGTCTTTTCCTCTAGATCTTATTTTCCTCCTTTCCCTTCTGTCTAACTCTCTACTATCTCCTACCAGTGCATCTGGGCTGAGATGATACTAAATGTTTGTGTTCATTGGTTGGGATGTCCTTGAGAAAAAAAGTGATGACACTGATGATTAAGAGGCAGCTTAGCTAACACCTGGGGTGTATTAGGACAAATGACCATGAAGCAAAAGTAAGGATGCAGCTGCCTCCATCTTTGTTTTTGTTGCTCCAATAAGCCTGTGCTATATTATCTGTGCTGCATTATCTTCCCACATGAGAAAACCGTGAGATACTGAACACTGGGCAGTGATAGGTAGTGGAGGGACGTGGGGAGATGAGGCTCCTGGCTGCTGTTAATGAGGTTCCTCTGAGGTAGACTGGACCTCTCGTTTTCCAGCTCATAGTCTGGGAATGCTGTTTCACTGGGAACGATACTCCTTCATCCATCTGTCCCACACTCGTGCACACTCTTTTTAATGCTCTGTGATCCTATCCTGTACTTATGATATTCATGCAAAGAATATCCTGGATGGAAGTAAAAGACCTACTTCCCTTTTTTGCGTCAGCGTGATCCTTAAAAACATGAAGTTTATCGGAGTGATTCCCCAAATGGCTTTTTTCCATTCTTCATATTCCCTGACAACATTAAAGCATAGAAAGATTCAAATTCACTTCTGCTCTTAAATTATGTTCACTCGGCTGCACAGTCTCTAAATACAAACAAATGGCTCGAGAGGAAAGCACTCAAGTCCTCTGCTGTAGTCCCGTGCTCGAGGGCATATATAATCACAAAGCAGCCAGGAACAGAAATACTAATCTTAAGATCACTTGACAGGTCACTGGCAAAACAACGTCTCGGTTCATCTCTCTTATATTGACAAAACTTGTGAATATGAACCCAGATATTCCTCCCATGTTCACTTTTTATTTCTCACATTAACATCTCTTCCAAAATGTAACAAAAGTCTACAGCAAGTGTCAAGAGATGTTAGAGTGTGCACGGTTTCCTAAAGTGTTGGGGCTCCCAGAGGAGGTTAAAATGAGTGCCTCGCTCTCTACACAATACAGTCTTAAAAGCGTGCATCGCCTTCCTTATGAAATCTGCAGACCGATTTTGGCAGACCAATTCATTTTGGAGTTGAAAGTGGCCACAGCCTTGGACTCACTCTCAGCAGTTATAAAACACAAGACAGAGGAAAGCAGGGGTAAGAAGGACACAGTCCGCTGGCAATATGGGTTTGGACACCACTTACTTTATTGTGTATAGTTTTTTATGTGTGTATCTATCAAAGGATGGCTTTTAAAGCTTTTATGGGGCTTTACTGGATAATGAACTCTGCTCTCATCAGAACTTTAGCAGAGAAAATACATGATGGGAATGTGAGAAAATGACTGTGAAAGTGGGTATGAGTGGCTTGTTTTCTTGTGTTCTTGTGCTCATTAAGGGACATTGCATGCATTCCCCACATAATGTAGGTACTGTACAAATATCTGGAGTGGCTAAAGCTAAACAGCCTAAGCAACACTTATAAAAACCACTCTTCCATATTGCAAAAATGCCACAGATGAATGGTACCTGTGCTTTAAAGGGTGTACGGGGAGTTATGGAGATTTGTAACACACTCCCAGAAGTGAGTGCAGATCCATTTATTCCCATGGTGTACAAGAACATCCTTGGTGTGTTCGACTAAGCCGAAAAGAATAACACTTTGGCTCTGGCCTGAATTTTTGTCAGGGGGTAAATTGTATCAAATGTCAACCATGTTGGAATGAAACAGCTTATAGCAGTAAATTAGATTAGTGGTGCCGGCTGATGTGTGTGGGGAGAAGACTTTGATGTGATTGTGTTGAGCTCCGCATCCCCTAACAGAGTTTCAGCTTTACACAGAGTGCAATGGGGCTGGGGCATGGTCCCCTCCCTTGTGGGTGTAGTCGCTTAAAAATAAACATGTATACATTCCCGTAACACATACTTGCTTGTTTTTACAAGCACTTTGAACAAAACTATAGTTACATAAAGACACGTGCACACGCAGAAACACCACAAGCCACAAAGAGATCAAATAATCAGCACTGCCTTTTGGATTGTAGGAAACAGGAGATGTTCTTCAGGGGGTGCGTGAGCGGACTGGTCTAACTAGTGTGTCATTATGATACCAGCTCCTGGCCTTTGGCTTGGCACAGCAAATCCACGATGGGAGTCAAATTTAAGTTGACTTCGAGCCAGTGCACTCTTCCCAGGGGGTGATTTCATCCCTCAGTATCTTCATCTTGGACAGTGTAGCTATTTCCTCACGTCACAAACTAACCGAGGGGAAAGCTGTGCCTCCATCTCTGTGCTCATGTTGCTCATGAACAGGGAGACTTGGGACTTTTTTGCCTAAGTACTTGGCAGTGAACAATGCTTGGCTGATTGCGTACATTATAACATGTCGTGAAATGCTTCAAATGGCTCTGTGTAAAACCCTAGAATTTTATTTTCAAGTGTACCACACACATAGCATCCAAGAACGGACAAAAGAACGCACAAATCAGCTTCAACATGTTACACAGTATAGTGAAAAACCTGCTGCTGGTGATGAGGGATGTAATGAATTTAGATAGGTACGGCTTAATTGCTTGTGCATGCTGTTTCCTTTGTGTTGCCACCAAAATTGCTTCTACAGCTACCCCACCCTCAAACCTCAGGCGCTTTACTGCTTGGATAGTGCTCATAATGTGTTTTATTTTTTTAAACAAAAAAAAAAATCATGTTGTTAACTGTTCAGTTAATTGGTATGACCTTTTTGATGAATATTTTATGATATTGTTCCTACTTCCTATAAACAGCGATCTTGACCCATAAATGGTTTATAAGGGAAAGATGAGTTTGTTTCAGTTAAATGACAGAAACAACAATGTGCTTTCAATATATTGTGTTCACTTTTTACTGGTGGAAAGTAAGTACAATTTAGAGGTAGGCCTACTTGTACTTATTCACTTTAGTGTTTCCATATTATACTACTTTGTTAGTTGGAAATTTTCACTCTACTACATTTATGTGACAGCTGTAGTTACTTTTTAGATTAAGAGTTTACATAAATAGATTTGACAATGATTCTTCTGTTCTTTTGCCTATGTAGGATTTTGCACGAAGGACATTTATTTACTATTTACTACTTTGAACATTGTTGTATTGGTACTTTTACTTCTGTAAAGTATTTTAATATGTCTTCCACAACCTGTTTTACCTAGTCGTCCTACTACTTTTTTAAGTTGCAGCTATGTTTCGTCACAGCAACCATTAAGAATTTTTTTTTCATAATTTGATTTAGTGATTTTGTTTTTGATTAATCAATTCATGGCTTTTAAAATAAAATGTCAGAAAAATTGTAAAAAGTCAAAAATGAAATCTGTCCAAAACCCAAAGATATTCAGTTATATTTAATAATAATTTAAAGAATAATTTACAATTATATATATTTCTCTTATTATTATTTTATTTATATTATCTTATTCTTTTGCTAAAAATCATACCACTAGGCAAACTGGAACCAGAGTATGTTTGGTATTTCTCTTTTAAATATTGATGACATGATAAATGAATTACCAAAATAGTTGCTCATTGATTATCAAAGGTCAAATGATCCTATGACTGATGACTGTGTTTGTCTGCTTGCATGCAGCTCTGAAGAGGTCCTTTGAGGTGGAGGATGTTGACACTCACTCTTCCCCCGGCTCCCGTCGGACAACCAACACCCCTCACCGTAACGCCATGTCTCCCACCAGCATCTACTACCGTGACCTGGGCACTGCTGCCCAGGCCACCAACAACAACAACCTCAACTATACCCAACCCCGCTCCATCATGGGTGGAGGAGGCTCCAGGACCCCCGAGCCTGTGTCGCGCCGTTCCGAGCTTTCCATCGACATCTCCTCTACTTCCAGCAAGCAGGTGGACAACATCACCAGCCCCGGTTCCGCACGCTTTGCGACCAACAGCGCCCTGAAACGCCCTGAAGTCCTGGGCCACTCCAAGACCCCTGAGCTGAGCCACAAGAGGGAGGTCACTTTTGCCAAGACGCCCACTGATTCTCCAGTGATACGTCGCAATGAGGGCAACAATAACAACAACGGCACCAGCCGGAACCCTGAGCAGAATCACGCTCGCAAGTTTGAGCCTCCTAGTCCCGGAGATGTCCGCAAACCTGATATCAGCATCACCAAAGCTCCCCCAGAAAACAACGGCCACCACCCGGCAGTGCACCACCCACACCACCCCAACCCTCACCACAACACCATCGTCACCACCTTCCGCTGCTCCTCGCCTAATCATCCTGGACGAAAATCTCCCAACCCTGACAGTAAGTCTGAGTATTCAGTCCAACCTACTCATTTCAGTCATATCCTCACACTGCCACATCCTCTTCTCTCTATTACTGAAAACAAATCTAAAAATACAGTCTTAGAGAAACATAAAGGTGCCCTGTGGAGTTGTCTCAGTAAACAGACAAGTTATGTTTACATTCAGTGTTACTCACCAAAATACATTGTGTGTATCCTTGAGCTCTGAAATGAATGCATTTCCATTATCATAAAATATTTGAAAACCTGATTTTAAAGAGTATTTAAATCCAGCTTTATTTACATCCATGTTTACTAGCTGGCAGTGTTGTTCTTCCCTGCTTTTTCTGGTGCATTGCTATGTTTCTAGGTGCATTACTCGTGCATGTTGTCAGATAAACACAACAGAAAAAGAGAAACAGCTCCATAGTGCTACGAGAGGTTAAAAAAAGACTCCACAGGACAGCTTTAAAGTGGTGACATGTTCAGTTCCCAGTGATCTCTGGTCAATCATGTTAGCTAAAGATGGTGATAGTGACCTTCTAATGAACTTCAGTGTATTTTGTTGATGGTAATAGGTGATACAGAACACACTTCTGATCACCAAGTTAGTTATAAATGACTAAGTTATCTCATCTCATCTCATGGTGAAACGCATGTTGATGCAGTCTACTTTAGGATGAGTTTACAGATTAAAGTTACAATGTAGTGAGTAAAACATCCAAACAATGGTGCAAATCTCAGCAATAATGCTGTCTAATAATAGGTTGTCATACATTAACTATAATGGCCCATCGACTGACAATATTACTGGCTCCAAATAGAACTAGTGTGTTTTTATTTATAATGTGGGAACTATTGAATAACTGGGTCCTTAAGGCAGAATGCCAAGGCCAGATTTCCTCCAGATCTTTGTTGGTGATGTGGAAACAAAAACAAAGCATCTTTTTATTACAAACACACAAGAAACAAACTTACTACACTACAAATGTACTTTAACCAGTTACTGAAAATACATTATATGATGTATGTCTACTATATGGTTGTGTTTGGTATCCATGTTTGTAAGTGATTTATCTTTGTGTAGATACACAGGAAGGAATAGATGCAATATACAATAAAAAATAAAAATAGTGTGTGCTCGCTCTTCCATATATTCCTACATTGTAGCTTGGTTGTTTTGGGTGCTATTGGTTGTTGATGATAATGGATTAGTTTGTGTTTAACTGCTCAAATGTTTTAACTAAAAGCTTTGATTCTGCTGTTCATACATACATTCATTTGGATTTCATGTAGAAACCAAACATGTTTTTGGCTTGTGTTGTTAAACTGCAGTTAATTACTCTTTTAGTACAGCAGTGCTTTGGTGCCGGGCTTCAGTTCGCCAGCCTCTGTGATTTCTTCAGCACAGACTTACCAGTTTGGTGTAACGGTGTCATTAGTGGAAAAGAGATTAAAGTGAGTGTAATAGGCTATCTTAAACTCCAATAAAACCAAATTACATTTTCTTATGTGAGCAGGAAGGGACAACTTTTCAGTCTTGGCTGTAAGTATACGTTAACATTCAAGCCCCGCTGGGTAAAAAAATGTCACATTTTCCAGATTACATTTCATCTGGAGTCTGATTCATCAAGGCTTTTTCTCCTGACTTCATATCTTCCTGCTACTACTCCACTCGTAACTGACTGGACCAAGTATCAGGTCTCTCAATAAAAAAAATAGTCAGTAGCTGGAGTGGCTTGTTTGATTAGTCTGATGTCTGTCAGTAATATAAATAACCATGTCCTTGGAGGCTTTTCTGTCAGTAGAAGCAGCAGACTGAATGTCTGTATTTGTGGTAATACATGTCTGTTCTTAATGCAGTATTGGAGCCAGGGCGGTTATGTGATGAAAGCCTAACCTTGGCAGCCCCAGAACAGTAATAGTTAAATGGTAATTAGTGCTACAGTCGGAGTAAAACTATATGCAACAGAGAAGAATAGTGTTTAGCCCACAGGGTTATACAGCAACAGAATACAGTTGTATCTTTATATTTAGTTGTGTCATCTGAAATAAGTGGTACGATGAGCTGTTTGTTTGATTTCAGTTTTCAAATTGTAAGCTAAAGTGGTAAAGGTAAACCTGTCCTCAAGATACTGCATCCACAAACACACAACAATACATGTTTACTCTTAAATGCAACCCTACCTATCGTACACTGTACATCATTTAGAGCCATGTATGATGAATGTAAGTCCAATATTCTCTCTCTCTCTTAGCTCTCTGTTTTTTTCTCTACCAACTCCTGTGGGATATATCTTACGGAAGCGCATTGCATTTACTGGATAAAAGAAAAACTGACACCATATCTTGTGTCAATTTTTTTTATCCAGTGAATGCAATGCGCTTCCGTAATATCTGGCTCTTTAGCTACTAAATGCTTTAATCTGCTCACCAGCTAGTTGCTAACTGTGTCTGTCTGCTGTTTGGTGCTGAGCAGGTACTGTACTGGTGGTTTTTCTTATCTCCTCACAGCTGGTCTGCTGCAGCCAAAAAACACTATGACACTATGAGCATGGTGACAGTGAACCAAAACAGTAAAGTTGTGGACCGGATAGCTAAACAATGAGCTGAAACTTGCTATAAAGTGGAGTGGACTGGATAAATCAACCTCCCCATAATACTATTAACCACTTTGCCAAGTACTTCATACTAAGCTCTTGGTGAAATATAATAATGAGTGTGCTTCCCAGTTGATTTTTTAGGTCATTTGATGTTATGTATTCCTGGTTTATACTTTGTATTGGCTGTAAGATGAAATCCTGCACTTTGTCATTTGGCTGATGTTTTGCAGTCAATTTTCCCACAGTATATTTTCTTTGTGCAGTGTCTGTGTCTGTGTCTCTGTGCTCCACTGTATCATGCTGTACCCATAATGTTTCTGCTTCTTATGACTATAAATTTCTAGTCTGTGTCTGTGCTGAAGGTTTTACATGGCTCTCTCCTAGATTATGGGGGTGGTAGCCGCTTATTGGTCCACAGAGAGAGGCCCTAATAGGGGTCTAAATGAAGGGTGACCTGCCTAGAAGGCCCAGGGGCTCTGACTAGGCCCACCCTGTTCTGCTCGAACACATTATCAAGAAAGCCTGGGGAAAAAAACATCACAACCATACTTATAATATACTATGAGCCCATGCTGTCACACATTTTACTGCAATGCACCTGTAGCACTGAATACACATTGTTCTCTTGGTATGTGGGATAAAAAGTGGTTTGCACCAATAAAAGTGCTTTTAATCGATTTCTTTCAGTGACGTGAAAAATCTTATGCATAGAGCAGCTGTTGGCAACACTACAAGTAAAGATTATTCAGTGTTTTTTTTTTTTATTGTTTTTCCATACCGCTGTCAGCTGTGGGGTTTTTTTTGAGTCTATTAGATAAGCTGCTTTCCTGCCCATTCAGTTTTCCAGGAGGAAATGACATCACATATCATTTGTACACACACACACACACACACACACACACACACACACACACACACACACACACCAAAAGCACATAGAGTATCCTGTGCTTCCTTCCGTGTTCTGTCAGCGTGATTGTTTCCCCCCACTGTGTGCCCTCACTGCAGTGTGCTTCCTCTCTCAGGGGTCATGTGATCTAAGTCAGTCAGCTTCCCAGCAAATATCCCTCCGTACTTTGATCCAAGCATCACAGAGAGCGAGACACACTGGGGTGTTTATGCAAAAGGTCAGCATGAAAAGGGCTGTGGACACACATACACATACTGTACAGTGAACTGGATGTGTTGGAAGATCACTGATAAGTAAATACGTCATGTTTTGTGGCTTGACAACCTTGGTCGATAGAGGTTACACACAAACACAGACACACTGACACCACCTAACTAGAGCTGAAACAATTAGTTGATTAATCAATGATATACATGTATATATTTGCTGCTAAACTAAAAATCTTTGGTTTTGGGTTGACGGATACACCATTGTGAAAAAGATATGTATTAGATTTTCAATTCAATTCAGTAGATGTCTATAAGTTCCATTTTCCATTTGGTATAATGAAAATAGAAAAAATATTTCAGTCAGTTTAACTGCTTTAAAGCTTCAAGTGCTGGAAGAAGCAGGTACTGAATATATATGTATGTTATGAATTCAAATTGATGTGATAAGTGCATTGCTGTAGCTCATGCAAGGAAAATGACAAAGAAAAACCTGACCATCAGGTTCACTTCAGGCTAAAGAGACTAGACTCATTCTGATTGGCATCTGGTCTGCTCCTGCGTGTTCAGCCAGACAGGGAACCTTATCTTGACAGGCAGGCCTGCTGTTCATCAATCCATCAAACACTACAGAAAGAGCTCTATCTAACATCTCTAGACAGAAAAGCATAGACCACCTGGGGTCAAAAATAACACATTTCTTATCACCTTTCAGACCAGCTTTCAAATACGAGAAATTTTGTTTTACCTGCAGACTCTTTCTGAGCCACATTTGTTTTGTTCTTCAAATGCAGGAATTTTGTTGCTGAAGAACGGGGATTAGGGATCGATTACTGTTTGATTAATTGTTTTTTCTATAAAATGTGAAAAATGGCAATCATTTCCTGAAGCCTTAGGTGATATCATCAAATGTGTTGTTTTGTCTGACCAACAGTCAAAAACTTCGCGTTTGCTAACATATATAAAAAAGAAAAGCATGAAATGCTCACACTTGAGAAGCAGGAACCAATTAATGTTTGTTTGCTTTTAACACCAAAGAAGGACTTCTTCTCTTTTAATGAAAACTCTGGTGAGGTCATTAGATAGAGAGGTTGACCATAAATAGTGTAGGCTAGTTATCACTGGCATGATGGGACGGGTAGGTTATCATTGGGGTCACATCCAGTAACCTCATTTAGCAATTCCTTTACTGTCTTATTGTGATATGGGGAGGACAAAGACGTTCACAGCAGAGATGGATTTGTCTTTCCATCTCACCTTGAGTTTAAAGGAAATCGAAACTACAGTATAGATAAATAAGG